CTTGATTCAATAAATGCCCGTCGAGTCTGCCACTTCGGTCTTTTGGCTGTGGTGGTTAGATGGTAGATATTTTCCGGCAAGATGGTATTTTCACCGTTTGGCCAATTTGCGCCTTAGGTCGGTGGTCATCTTGCTGGGTGTGTTACCCATGTACACAACGATCTATTTTGACTTAAAAAACATCCGAGGATTGCACAAACTCAGCATCGCGCACAACCTCGGCATTGCGCACTACCTTGGCTTTGGCCATGTATGCAGCGATCTCTTTTCACTTAAAAATAAGACTTTGCATTGCTCATATACTAAGAAATCTGCTTTCATTTAAAAGAAATCGGAGAATTGCAGAAACTCGCGCATAACCAACTCCATTGATTCGCGTTGTATAAAAAAATGTTTCCAGAAAAATTGAGCTTACTACTGGCGAACCAAGATCCTAGCCTAATTGATTTCTCAACCCTACTCTTCTTGTATGTCCAAATACTAGCATTCGGTGACTTTTTCTGACTAACTAACCAGCATGCTATCTTACATTTTTCACAACAAACGTTATCCTTCAATAATCGACAATCCATCAAAAATCCTCTAAAAACTTCATACTCTCTTGTTAATTCATACATAAAATATCTGTTTCCAAATTTTTACGCTTGTTTACTCCCACCTTAAAATTTGCTTTAAAAATCTCCTGATATTTAATTACAACATCACTAACAGCAGTTTTAGAGAAAGCAATAACTAAACGCAAAAATATCACGTCCAAAGAAGCCCAAAAATATATATATATACAAAATAGTATTTACGGTATCTGAGCGTTAAACAATCGCCAATAACAGTGTTACGAATTGTGTATTTAGATAAATTAAAAATGTATTTTCCCCTGCAACGCAGCGTAAGACAAATTTTAAGAGAAATCTCTACCGGAAAAGTAAGAATACAGGGCACGTGCATTAAACTTTGAGTAAACGGATATCTCGGTTATTTGTATTGAAATTGAATAAATGTAACTGACTACTATATAAGCTGTAACCGTAAGTCCATCCTCTTGTTTACATTGCGTTTGGCAAATAGTTTAAGTTACCAGATCATATCATTTATCGCCGCACTTGGCGATATTTTTTGTTTAAAATTCCGGTTGGGCTATGCTGAAGCTGTGCCGTTACCTCAATTGGAGTGGAAAAAGCGCTTCGAAAATTGGTTCAAATGCATATAAAAGTGTATTGATCTTCATTAAGAAAATTTTGAAACACAATAAAAACAAATTCGAATCTAAACACTTGTTTTTACTTCCTTGTACGAAGTAAAAAGGAAGTATTGTAATCGCGAAAAGCGTCAGGCAGCATATTTCAACGAAAATATCCACTTGACCGCTTGAGTGCAATTTACGATTGTTTTGCGTGATTCTGTACGTAAGGACAGAAAAAAAGACTCTTTTTTCAAAAAAAAAAAAAAAAAAAAAAAAAAAAAAAAAAAAAAAAAAAAACTGCTTTAAAACGAATTCTGAAGAGAATTTTTCGTGGCGTCTGTACGAGCGTACGTACGTACGTATCTCGCATAACTCAAAAACGAGTAGCCTCAGAACGTTGAAATTTTGTATATAAGACTACTATAACATGTAGATGTGCACCTCGTATTTTGGTGTCAATCGGCCGCGCCAAACGTATATAAATATATTTATAAATATATCCACTCTGTTACCCGGCTCAGTGATCTCAGTTTCTTTACTCTTATATGTTTGTAAATTGTACATTTTTTGCTTTAAAAATGATTGTATTATGTTGTTTTTATCTTCTGGTTAAGGGTTTTATGCCTTTAGTAAATCTGTATGCAATATTTTTAGAATTATCAACAATTTTAAAATTGTTTAAATGCCGCGAAGCCTAATTTGATGGCGGCCATTGATGTTTACATTTGAAACAGGAGACTAGTGGATTTGTTGCCAATCTAGAGAAACTTAACTTCGCAACAACAAAGATAACGCATTCATTTATTATTGTCAATTAAATCATGCTTAATCCTTTCTTGAATTCTTTCGAGGAATAAGCGTTTAAGATTTACTTCGTAATTTTTAATACAGATATTTTGAGTTTTTATGTATTTTTGCCTTGTCGCGAAGTGAGAACTGAATTAATTGAATGAGAAATACTCAATCGTCTGTGAAAAACTGGTTCTTTTTTGTTTGTTGCTAATTTTTTTATACTAGTTCTAGCTTTATTATAGTATTTGAATAGAACAACGTGGCAACGATTAGATAATTCTTTAAATAATATAAATTTGTGCATTCAGAGTTATAATTGAACGAAATATAATAATGTTTAGTAAAACCTAGCGCCAGAGTGTCGCTATGGTAAACAAAGTGAATTTTAAAGAATGCATTTTTCTATTGTGGTTTATGCGCTGTCGGCGAAGTAGGTTTAATTCAATCTAATAAGTTTAAATAAAATGCAAGAAAAAATGCGTATAATTTAATATTCCGTACAAGGAAGTCAAGTGGTGTAGACATCAGATTTTTTATTATTAGGCCAGAAATATAAATAGCAACCCTCGTACACCTGAAAAGAAAATGTATAAAAACATTGCCAGATGAATGAAATAATCAGTTCATTATTTTCAAGCAACAACTAATTCGTAAATAACTTTTTGTTGCCAAACCAGGAAACAAAATCTTTATGCACTTGAGCTATGCATGTGACATCATGATTTAAATTTAATGAAATTTAACAACTTTTTCTCAATATCAATAAAAGAATTGACGTGGCAACAACATATCGTGCCAATTTTCCGAACCTGAAAGAAAAAAAGTTACCAACAGCAGGTACTTATTTAAAATGCTGACATTAAAAGAACTTGCAACATCTTTCTTCGTTATGGCAGTTATGTTGGGTATGACTATACCATTGACACCGATAGAACTGGGTAGGTATCTTTCTGGGATTGCAGATGACAATCTGAATGTTTTTGGAGTCCTGATCCATGTTTTAGATTTTCTATCTTTTTTATCCTATCTATTCCTCTCTTTCTTCGCTTCGAAATTACTAGTATTCGACTTCACAGAGTATTCGGTGTCAATGTTATCATCGTCCGCGCCATCGCTAGGTGCTCCCCAACAGTTTTGGAGGTCTGGCCATGTCAATAGCGGAGACTAATACTCAGCTAACGTGAGGAATGAGCTGCGAAAATGACGCAAATTGTGGTGAAGAAGAAGCAAAGACTCTCATTTCTTTGAGTCGATGAACATGAAGGGTAGCATATTAATAATAAACAAGTGGATGCACCGACTGCTGTGAGAAAGGAATAAGGGGAAATTTTAGAGCCATATTAGCCAAAATTAGGAAGGAAATTAGCCTAAAAGAGGCGTATTCAAGAAAGGGGAATAGTTGTAAAGTTAAATCGAATTAAAACAAGATAAAGTTAATGAAGGGGATTCAACTAATTATAGGTTTGCTCAAATATGTTGAATTGAGCCAGCATTCATTCCAATTTATCTTCTGTGTTGGAAATTGTAGTTCAGTAACCACCTTTATACAGCTGAAAAAATTTTCGTATGAAGATGCTTCCAAGCACACTGTGGATATGTCTAAATGTATGAACTAATTTCGATATCATCGACTTAATCGATAATTTGCGAATAGAAAACCAGCAGACTGTTCTTAGCTTCCGTAAACACCAGCCATGTTCTAATTTTGAAAGCTGTTCCCTTTCTTCGAGTTGCTTTATTAGAACTAACCGAGCTACGTATAAAAACGCTGAACACGGGAGTTCGACCCGAGATTAAATCCCAGAGAATGAGTTGGATCTATGGGAGTTTTTGTGATTTTTCCATATGTGTAACTACGCGCAGGTGGATTTAGACATAATCAAATTTTTTTTTTTAAAGTTACACAAAACAACAACTTTAGTCTGGCGTAGATTTTGGATAAAACCCTGTCGATTTCGAAGACAGACACATTCCGAGAAGGTCAGACCTCTTTTTCAGAGGCATAAAAATTTTCCATGATTTTAACTCTTTTTTTGGTTTGGGACTAAAGTTGAAGGACTGGAAAATGAACTAGCTTGCCTTATAACAACAATATTAGTAGCAAGAGTTTCGTAATGACTGATGCGGGGGGGGAGAATGAATTAGATTTTGTAGCATTGGTATAGCTGACTCCAGGCTACTGATGCACGCACTTTGAAACTGTACTAATGTCGCTTCCCACTTTACTGGCTGTAAGGTGATGTGCTCAATGAACCCTAGAAAGACCATTAATGAGTCTTCTTTCATACGGCATACGGCTGTTATCGAGGCTTTCTATCCCAGCAGTTTGGCTTACTTTACTGGCGTTTTAAAGGAGGTGAAGTGTATTAATTTTGACTGTGTGTGTAGCATTGATTGCATACTTTTCTCACATTTGTATAAAAATGTGTAGATTCGAAATGAACAAAAATAATATATTTTGTTTGAAAACTAAATTTTGATACACATATGAATGAAATAAAACTGAAATTTGATAAAAATCTCCTCAGTCTAATTTTTTTTTTTTTTTTTTAAAGAAAGGGCTAGATTAATTTTACAAAATTGATAAAATGTTTCAGCAGACACTGGATTATAATTGTGATCTTTTTCTTAATAGAATTAAATTTGGATTATTTATGCTATTATGTCTTTTACATTTTTTTTTAAAATAAATTTTTTTTTTTTTTTTTTGAACGCAGACACTTACAATCAAACATCAGTCGTATTCTTTGATAGACTTATACAAAAGATAGAATATTTTTGCAAATTTGTTACTCATCTTTATAATTCCTTCAATTATTCGGGTTCATTCTGATATGAATGCTCCCTATATTGATTCGGAGAAATTATCTTGTTCTAAATGGCCCATATCATTGTCATCAGGTTCCTTTTATTTTAATACTTTTATTTTAAAGAAAACCAGACAGTTTATTTTAAAGAAAACTTTTTGAAGATGCATTCCTATAACACAATCTTTATAGGAATGCATCTTCAAAAAGAAATAAACAAATTGAAAATTTTACCTTTTATTGAATTACTAATAAAAATAAAAAAATAAAATGCATGTCCATTTACGATATTACTACATTCTTATAAATGATATTCTTTTCGTAGATTTTTCTCCCCTTAATTTGCGTAGACTGAAGGGAATGGTAGTACTTCTGTTGGTTGAATCCTGAAAATTAAAATTTATTAGTAAACGCTTAACTAACATAAAATGAATGAACTACAAATTTACAAATTCTTATTTAATAAATTTAGGAACATTTCTCGAGCGAAGTTAATGTTTACAAGATATGTAAGAAGATAGCCAATCTGTAGGTTACATTTTGACTTCGGTTAATTACCGTACAAATAGCTGAAAATTACTTCAGTAAATAAGTACAGTATCAAAAAGTAATAAGCATGTTTAAAAAAAAAAATACTTCAGTAAAGGAGTACAATATTAAAAACTGATTCGCATGCTTAGGTAAAAAGGAAAGCCAAATGGCTATGATGACAAAGGCTATGACAAAATTATCTTTTCTGACGTGAGTTATTCAGTTGTCAAGTACATTTTTGGATACTATTTTTGTTGCTTTCTCTATTATAAATAGATTAGATTCTTTAATTATGGGAAAGCACCTGAGTGTCATCTGCTTTTCTTATAGTAATTAATAAGCCCTGAAATTTAACTGAAGACTCTTATCATTTGTTAGAGAATAATAAAAAAAAATATTAAAAAAGACCAAACAGACAATATTTAGACGAAATAGTTTACTTATAATATTTATTTTTAAATATTAAACTCAATATTAGGACAGTTCTTTAGTTATGTGTCTAGTAATTTCATGTGAATTGTTGTCTTTTATCCAAGGCATCAATGTCGGAAATGAATGAGTTTTGCCGAATTGCTTTTCGACATTAATAAATTTAAAATCTAATTGTTTGTAGCTCAGAAAACTTTCAGTTACAGATAATGATCTCTTCACAACTACGAAAACTACAGGGGAAAAATGTGAGAAGAATCTGGATATATAATTATTTATATGCAATCTGGACATATAATTATTTTACTTTTTATACATAATTTTTGGTTTAACTTCCTCTTAATTTGCGAATAGAAAACCAGCAGACTGTTCTTAGCTTCCGTAAACAACCAGCCATGTTCTAAATTTTGAAAGCTGTTCCCTTTCTTCGAGTTGCTTTATTAGAACTAACCGAGCTACGTATAAAAACGCTGAACACGGGAGTTCGACCCGAGATTAAATCCCAGAGAATGAGTTGGATCTATGGGAGTTTTTGTGATTTTTCCATATGTGTAACTACGCGCAGGTGGATTTAAAAAGAGTGAACATGAAGCTAAATTCCTCTTTTAAGCATACGCGATAGATTTTCCCCTCTTGCTGCAACTAATTAATTCTTATTAATACTTTTGTATAGATTTTAGACCTTGCTCACCGGTGAGGGTTATTATCTCTTACACAGCTTTCGTACTTTCTCAAATATTTTTAGTGCAATAATTTTACTATGATTTAAGCGATTCAAGGTAGTTTACGTCACCAGATTGATGCGGTTTCTACGGGAACCAAGAAAGGCATTGTCAAAGCAAAAGCTCGCTTATGGTCACATGGATATCTATGTGCCGACTCAGTCATTTTAAAACGCAATTAACTATAAATCCTGTGGGAGGATGCTACTTATGCTTGCTTAACTGCTTTTGTTTAGTGATCTTTTCATGAGGATCATAATTGCGCCACCACTGTCTGAATGTCGACGAGGATGGTAAATAAACTTAGAGACTGAACTCTGCAACATAGAAACAAGATATGTTGCAAATGCAAAAGAGAATTTTGTTTCTCTCTCTTGCCAAATCTAGATCAGTTTATTTTTGGTGCGTGTGCTGATTGATCATCAAGCAGTCCACACAGACCCTTGCAACATTTATAGAGCAATACTAATCGTCGTGACTGAACCTGTGCCGTGAACATGGGTGCGAGCCCTGCTTTAATATATGCCTTGGTTGCGATTCCAATGCGTAGGCTTGCCTGGTTGAGTTCTTAAATTGCTATGGGACGTGTCGGTTATTGCTGTCGCAGGTGTAATTACGTTCATTGTTTGACCGTGAAGAGATGCGTGTTCTTGTCATAGCAATGATCACCAGTGTAGAAGAACCGAAGCTGGTTTGCTTTGCTGCTATAGTATAGTGGCTCCGTCTCTCGGTGAGGGTCTTAACTACACCAGTCCTACTTCTGTACCCTAGATAGTAAATGACCTTGAGGATCGATCCGAGGTTTGCGGCATAGAAACCAAGTGCGCTACCCTAAAAGCTTAATTTTGTGTTTTAATAACCATGGTTCGTGACTGGTTTATAAGGTATTTCTCCCGCTTCCCAGCGTGCCTTCGTGGTGTAACGGTAGCACGCTGGGCCGGTATTCCAGAGGTCTGTGGTTCAATTCCCGGCGAAGGCGTTGCTAATTTTTCCTCTCTCTGGCTCCAAAAAAATACCTAATGTCTCTACAGTGGCGCCCGAACTAAACGGGTTGCGGATGATGATTCTCCACACCCAGGACTTGGCGACTAGGTCCCCTAAAACCCTAGTCGCCCTTTAAAAAGGGAAGTATATAAGGTATTTCTCCCGCTTTCCAGCGTGCCTTCGTGGTGTAACGGTAGCACGCTGGGCCGGTATTCCAGAGGTCCGTGGTTCGATTCCCGGCGAAGGCGTTGCTAATTTTTCCTCTCTCTCGTTAAAAGAAAAAAAAAAAAAAAAAAAACCTAATGTCTCTACAAGGCTTAGGGCAAAGCAGGGAAAGCAGAGTACATCGGAAAGTTGTGTTGTACAGTGTGAAGTGGATGATCGACAGAGTACATTTGAAAAAGATCTGGTTGTGATATACAATATGAGAAGTACCATTTATGAGAAATTAGTAGTTTCTTTAAGGTGCAGCACTTAAAAATCTGAGAATTATTAATTTTTCTAGACTCTCTTAAACATGCAAGATTCTAAATGTGATATAGCAGTCATAATTCTCATAATTTTATATAGAAGTCAAAATAATCTTTAAAGTCCTACAATACTTTAGCAACTAAAAAAGAAACATTTATATTTTTATTAAAATTTAATAAAAATTTCATTTAATATCTAATCACAAATCAATTCTAACTATTCTTATTAAAGCATATTTATATAAAATATAAATTTTAGATATAAATACATACGTTATTTTAAGATAAAATTTGTCTCGGAATGTCGGATGTTTAACAAAAATCTATGAAAAGAAAACAATTACAAATTTGCTTTGAATATTGCCTCTAATAGTAGTGAAGATCGAGAAGGAGATCAATATTTACCAGTTTTCTTTGCTCCATTCAGCATCTTTTTCAACCATGTGGTATGTGTATACAGTTCGAGCAACATTTGTAGTATTTCTCCCGCTTTTATGTACAACAGATCCATGTATTACGACGCAATCCCCTGGGTCAAAATAAAGAAATATTTCAAATCAAGTGGATATTAATCCTTAATAAAGCAGCTGAATACATCCACATTCAACTTCGAACTATTAAAAGTAGATTGAGCGGGCTCTATTTGGAAAAAAAGTTAAATTTATAGAAAGTTGTGAAAAATTACCATCACATACCATCAGTGTAAAATAAAAGTGTCTATGCAAAATGCAAAAAGGAACAGAAAAGTGCGTGGTGTAAGTGCGATGTATCTTTTCTTTGAACAAAAAGGCACTAACTTCATGCTCACAAAAACATACCGACTATTTGCGATGAGAACGTAAAGGTAAATCTAACAATAAATTCAAAAGTTAAAGAAGTAGTGCTAGACTTCACAACTTAAGTTAACCTAACAAGCTGACTCAGCAACCTACACCGGCTCAAACTAACTAAACGGCCAGAATTCGTAGCCGCCACTATGATTAATAGCTGGAGGACAAAATAGCAAACGTACTCTACATTAGCGAAATCACGTAACTTTTTCACTTTACCCGTTTAAATGATCTCTTTCACTTACTTAATTTGAATCCTGGTGAGGAAATGCGAGAGTAAATAAGAGAATTCAGAAAAGATACTAAAATTAAAATAACTTGTTAGTGAACTAACAGTAACTCTACAATATAATTTGTAAATATTGAAATAAAAGTATGAGTTCTGACAACTACTAGTGAGTTGATGAGGGCCTTCTCAACAGCCTGATTCAAAGTAAGCCTGATTCAAGTATAAAGTAAATTTGATTTAAGGTTTAGATATTTTGTGCTTCGTTACGCAATAAATGGACGTCTGCGGCAGGACGCCGAGGAGCTTTAATTCAAAATTCATTACAACTGTGAAATAAAAACTTTTTAGTTTTTTATTTTAAATAGAGAGTATTACTGTTAAAAACTAAATGATAATTTCTGTAATCAATATTTGTTGACGTTCGAATTATTTATTAAGAAATCACTTTACCGACAATAATAATATTACTTTCTATTTTAGTAATGGATGAAATGAAACTCTTTAGAGGTTGTTTAAGAACGAATTTCGCTAACACTGTGCTTTACTCTCAACTTGATGATAAAGTGTAAAAAATAAATATTTTGGATAAACAGGTATTAGAGCTATTGAACGGAAAACATAATGAGTGTTCTAAAGAAGAATTAGCGGATATGATTATGATTTCGAGAGAGAGTTTTTGATCAGAAAGACATTTTCAAATTCTGGAGTCATACTTTATACGAGAGTAAGATTTGGGAATTTGAAGCAATAACAGTAAACGGAATTCTTTTCTAGATGTATACAAGCTAATGATGCTTCACCGCCTGGAAATCGATGAAAGAAGAGATAAACACTAAAGTAACATCTTTTATCTTTTTCTATGGGACGTATCAGGTTCTCATCAAAAGACATCTACGATATAATCCGTAACTAAATTAATTTTCAAATTATTTTAAACAGTCTCTAACCAATCTCCCGGACTGATTATGTATCGAAAAATGTATCATATACCGGTCGATTTCATATTGAGAAAAATTAAAAATTTTCCAATTTTTTCCCTGCTTCCTTAGATTTGCAAATTAGCCGAATTGGTATTTTTGTTATACACGGCTAAATCTGAAAAGTTGCTTAAAATAGTATTTAACCAGCTTTCTCCATGTTCATATTTTCACTTAACAAATACTTTTCCCAAAACACTTCTGTGATATTTACAAGCTTTAAGACACTACCCTCTGTTCTCACTGTGTTCTTTTAAATTGAAGAATTTTCCTCGGATTAAGTTTGTGGAAGCTTTATCACGCATAGTTTTGGGTTTATTTTCCGCATCATTACACTGTTTAATTACACTCACACTGCCATCTTCCGTTTCCTTTAAAATTTTATTTAATTTAAACTTTTATTTTGATGTTTTCTTCAAAAAATCCATTTTAAAATTTCAATTGTTATACGGCCACAATATACATTTAAAAGCACTAGGTAAGCAGAAATTACATGAAGTAGAAATTCATATTGGATGAATATATTTTTATGTTCGCATAAATGATGACATGAGGCTGGTTTTATCTAACCCCGTTTATATACTGCAAAACTATTTAAGGTACGCAGAAACATCCATTCGTATATACACTATATATACTAATACGTCTGTAAAATCTGTCTGTGAGAAAAACCTCGAAATTATATATTTGCGGTCAATCTAATCTGAGAATATTTGATAGAGCAGAAAGGATATGGCCAGCCAAAGGATATAATTCCCTCTTTTCTAATAGTCGCATTTTGGAAATTATGCAGTGAAATATGAATATTGTTGAGAAAAAGCAACTAAACAGGAAAGGAAATTTAAGGACAGAGTTTGGTTTCTAAATTTCTGTTTAAAAATATAATAATGTGCATGTCAGTCATTTGGTGTATAATTTGAATGGACGCTTTTCTGCATTAAATTAAGAACCTGAAAATTGCAGCAACTCTAAATCTTATTATTCTTTTCCAAACAAGTGCATTATTAATGTATTCTAGACCAAAAGAATAGGCAGAAACTGGTAATGGCGGTCTGCCTAACAAAGAATTTCAATAAAGTCGTTGTTATCGCTCTGGTGTTTAAGAATTTTGATTTAAAGAATTTAAAGAATTGAGAATTTTGATTTGAAATACATAAGTATTGTTTTAGTGATAAATTCAACGTATTTTGGTTATTATTTACGTCTGCTTGCTGTATAGTGGTACGTTGCAGATATCATTCAATTTCCATTCTTCTGTCACGAAGCTAATCGGTAACTATTGATAGCTAATTTGCGAATTTCAAGGAAAGATACAAAAAGTTATGTATTGCGAAATATTAAGGGGTCCTCTCTTAAGTTCGGAATTCCCCAAACTGGGAATGTTTGGGGGGCCCTTAAACCGGTTTTGTCTGTTAAACCGGTTTAAGGTTAACATAAATCCAAATGTGTTAATATTTTTTGTTTATCATATTTTTTGGAGCATACAAATTTAGCTGTGTTGTAAAAGTGGTAATAGGTCTATTTCATGTGAGTCAACGTAAATGTTAGGATATATGTGATGTGTTCATTAAAATGAGAAGGTTACTGTACACATTGGCACATCCTTTGGGCTATTTCCGCTATTCTCCCATTTCTTGCCAAAGGGCAGAAAACATCTTTTTAAAAAGGCATGAATTATAAATGGTGTTTCAGTTACCTTTCTTAGCTGGGGCTGGAACATATTGGTCATCATCATAATGAGGTAACTCTCCTCGAAGAATTAACAAGGGCTCTCCATCTGGATTTCTGACAAACCGTTGATGAACAGGATCTATAAAAAATGAGAATGTGGAATGTATCATGCTTTAGTAAACTAAATAGGTATTTTAGCTATAATTAATATTAATATCTTGCAATGATTAGAAAGGGGTAAGTCTTTTCCCAATGCAATAAAACTTTGAATATAGCATAATAACTGCTGTGTTATCAGCAAAGAAAACGAAAGACTATCAAAACCCTTTCTTAACTGCACTTGAGTTTCACATAAAGAAGTGCGATATTTAACATTTGGAAATTCATGTTCAACGGGAGGGGCAAATCTACGTACCTGGATGTCTTAACAAACGATATATTAAAATAAAGAAACGGGAATTTAAGTACTAAAGTGAGCAACTCTGCGCATGACTAATTAGAAACTGAACTCAGTCTACCGAATGTGATGATTGTATGATATAATCTAGTCTGGAATTATTTTTAATTGTCCCGTGAATGTTGCAACCTGTTTACTAATCCTGACAACTTGGCTAATTCTACAAAGAAATTATGGTAACACTTCCCAGTGATACAACAAGCCCGGACTTCAACGGATCTTTTTTTTTAAAATGCTTAACTTGCTAAACATTGAGACTGAACAGGACGTTGCTATCCAACACCTGAAAGATTATTCTCATGGGTTTCATGTAACTCTGAATTCAGTGTTTGTTTATAACTTATTACAGGGCACTATCACGAGGCAAGATCTAGGAATTAATATAGAACCAATGATCGCTGAAGCAAGCAGTACAAAATGCCTTCTTCTCGATCTCACTTGAAATTACAGAAAGAATGTCACAAAGTACACACAGAATATAAATTCGTATTTTTAAGAAGAATTTCATGCTTTAAAATTTCAGATTCATTGCTATGTTGGCCCATTGAAGAACTAACACTAAGTTCATTAATTGCATCTGCTACATTATATAAAGGCTCTAAAATCTTATAAATCATTCTATATTTTAACGAATTTTTACCTGCATAAGGCATCAATATTAACTTTTGAGTTAAACTGACATCTGGTTATAGATTTCCGTGATGTTAATTTAACATTAGACATCTATGGTCATGGTCATGGTAATATTGCTGTAGAGAAATAGAATGTTTCTGTTTACAATGTTGGTTTTATTAAAAAAATGAAACCATATATAAATGAAAGTGATATTTTCGATCTCCACTGAAGTGTAAAATTTATTGTTGAGTTCTTATTTGAATACCAATGCTGTAACTATTGATGATAATTTCATGCTAATATTTCTTGAGGTTTTCTATAAGTACAGAATAATTAAAAGATTCTATTTTGTAACTTATATACATTTTACTTATTTATTTTCATTACTGTAATTATCATCATTTTTGTTTACATAGTGGACTAATTGATGAAGATATATTTTTTGGATAATTTAAATCAACATATTATATTTTATCTTGTAAGTGAAGATACGATGTTAAAGCATTATTTTTGAAACTACCACTTAACGTAAGCACAGTTTTCCAAATTTTCAAACAAACTAATCTGAAAATAATTTGGTGATGAACATTTCTACGTAAAAGGGAGTACTACATTAAAGAAATCTATAATTACAGAAAATCTGGTAGTTGCTAATACTACCTTTATGAGATCCTGGAACAAACCATAGACAACCATTTTCTACAGTAGCATCCTCTAGAGGAAACCAAAGCCCTATGCAGGTTGGAGGTTCAGTGTATAAAAATGTGGAATCTTGATGAGGTCGAACTAACGAAAATAGAATTTAGAATATAAATAAATGCACACACATATTCAGTACTGAAATTCAGTATAGAATTTGAAAGAAGAATTTTCAATGACAAAAGATAATAATTAAGCAGCTGATCGATTTCATACCTTAACCTTACAGAAGATGACTTGAATATAGTTATTATATCTTTTAACATGAAAACATTACAACTTACATAATTTAACAAAATTAAAATGGTGACGCATTTTTCCCATTATATTTTAGTTACATCTTATTTTGTAACAATTATTCTTAAATTTTATTGAATTTAATTTTTGTCCTTTATAATTCATTAATTTAAATTTTGTTCTGTTCTTCTTCTCTCTTCCTGATACTTGTTCAGACCTGAAGGTTTTGCAAACTTAATGACGAGGGGCGTAGTTTAAAAGTAAGATCTTAATTATGAACCGATCGGAGCTTGCATAAGTTGCTGCGAAATTGCTTGTTTAAATTGCCATCAGGAACACGAATGAGATCTCGAGAGGTATCGACTGTGCTTAGTAAGCTGTTAATAAGTTAATGATATCTGTGTTTGAACCGTTACCACCAAAAAAGCAAGGCCTCCCTTCTGCTGCAAGTGGCGTCACTAGAGGAGTAACTAATAGACATTAACAAGCAGCCACAATTTTTTCGGTGGTAATGAACAAATCCACTTCGTGGTACCGCCTTCTTGTAGTTTTAAGGGAAGGACATTTTTAAAAGATTTCAAAATGTTTTGCTTGGTAATAATCTGTTTAAGAGTAGCTTATACTTGTTGTATTCCTACCTGCAGAGGAAAATTATCCAAATATTGAAAAAGTCCCCTTGTTTTCATTTTCTAAATCAGATTTGATGCGCAGAAAGTGGTTACGTACTATCAAAACATTCTAAGTTATGTATGATCAATTTTTTAACATGCATGCTTTTTTTTAATTGAAAAAAATATTCTAATTCGTACATTTAAAAAAATATGTATTTCTAGATTTTCCAAAGATTAGGCCTCACTTATTGTTGCATGATTGATATTGATTAGCGTGTGTTATTTTGAGTTCGATAAAATCTGAAATTAATCATGGTGAAACATAAATTAACATATAACACCGCAGTTAGTCATTAATTCGAAAGCATTTAATTAAATCTGTAATGAAATGTGTTGAGATATAATTAAAATTTTATTCATAAATTCGTAATTCTTTCTGGAGGCTATAATGAAGAAAACTAAGAGGAATACAGCAAAAAAGAACGCTTCACTAAATGCAGAAACAATTCAAGTTTTATGTATAGCCCTTACAGGTGTTCTATGTGCGAACCCTTTGTTGCCCATAAACTATTCCCCATCAATGCGGAATTCCAGTTCCTGCCAAATTCTATTCAGCATGGTACTATCAACGACATTGACAGCACTCCACTCTCTGTGTGATCTTTTCACGCAGTTCTGCCACACGGCAAAGCAAGTACGAAAACAAGATCTTTTACGTAGCCCTACAAGGAAAAGGTCACGGTATTTAAACTTGTGAGCGTAGGGGCTATGGTAAAAGAGGTACCTCATCTTCGGAATCTCGCCTAATCCAAAGAACTAGTAATTGTGTGTTAAAGTAGTCATGCACATCGCACAGACAATGTGGTGGAGCTCCATCTTGTTGGAAAACAAAGTCGTCATCTTCATGTTGCAATTGCGGCATTAACCACAATTGTAGCATAACCATGTACACTACACCCGTCACTACAGTGCACCCCGGGGGGAATTCAATTGCAGTACATTCATGCTCACTACACAGGCCATTGTACTACCAATTGCTATAGTAAAGAACTTTAATTGCTTCTGTATTTAGTGCAAAGTTCGTTTTTTTGCTATACTATTTTGAAACACCAGAGATAATAATGAGTAACCTGGTATAACATTTAAGTAAACAATAGACAAGCGAGAAACTTCATAAATGCGCAGAAGAGTTTCTATGCACTAGATACAAGAATTCTGAATCCTTCAAATTTGAGAGCGTTGAATGTCTGCGCAGACGCCGCGAGTAGTATATATACTGGATAAGCATTTTCCCGTTTCCTAAATTTATTTCTGAATGCATTGCATGGAAACATGAATTTTCATTTTATATTGAAATTATCTGTAAGATTTTCCTATGAATCTGTAGTGGTAGTCGATATTGAATTTTTCCACCTTTTTAGATTTGTGAAAAACATTTTGTAGAATCAGACATTAAAAGAACAATCGAACATTTTGGTGAGAAAAAAGGATCTTCCGTAAAATTTAATTTGGTTTGTTCAAGGCTTCTCATGTGTATAAATTTTTTAGAAGTATGCCACTTCCAAGAACAATTTAGCCCATCAGCTGTCGAGCGGTAAAAGTCGCTAAGCACTGGTAGTTCGTTCGGTCAAGGATTCGAATTTCAGCGAACGGGCTGACTGCATGGGCATTTTCGTAGTTTTTCCCATATGTAACGTGTATAAGAACCAGTTTCCCATAGCAAGTCCTTCTACGTAAGTATCCCCCCCCATAGGCAGATACTCCTCGAGAGATTTGCCATACTCAAATAAATCAATCTAAGAATAATTTATAGAGTATGTTCTGGATTTAATACTTATCACATTAGGCAATGCCTTTTTTTCTTCCCTATCCCAGTTAAGTATTATTTATCAACATCCATACAATAAAGGTTATCCTTTGTTTTTTATCATGGATTTTGTTCATATATTTAAAAATATAAGAAATAAGTGGCTGAATCAAAAAAATTGTGAACAAGTGTTTTATTATCCTGATTTTGAGAAATTACCATTATCCATTGCCTCATTTAAATTTTTAAAACTGCTTTATGAAATAGATTAAAATTCTTTTATAAAAATAGGCATATGGGTTGTATTTAAAATCATTCAACCCATCAAACAACCTATAGAGAGACAAAATGTCAGATTTAATAGCATTTTTATCAACTATGTTACTGTCCGCCTTTCTACTATTGATAAGGAGAATCATGTTTCAAATTATATCAGTACTGTTTGTTTCATAAAACTGATTTATGACTGGTGGAATATTATTAATATTGAAACACCTTCTGAAAAAGTTAGAGGTTAAATGGTCCATTACAAATGGCAATGTTGCCTAGTAATTCTTTGAACGAAACATTTTTAGAAATATTTTTTTTATGGTTAGATGTTTGGAAAGCTAACGCTTCCACAACAGGGAACTTTACTAAGGAAACCGTATTTTGCTGTTTCCTACTACATATTTGCACACTACATATGGATTATTAGAATTATTTAATATTGTTTTCATGAGTTAGGATTTAAATATTTCCAAAGAGGAAAGATACAAACAGACACGATAGAAGAGCTGTTTAGTAAATATCGGAAACTTGCTGGTTCTCAGTACCTAATATCAATACGATAAACATTTAAAAGTGAATCAAATTTAAGAATGCAGAATTTTCGGCCTAGTAGCGCATGGTGATAATTTAAATGACTGCATTGGAGAAGATTATGTTACAGATGATATCCAAAAGGTTTTAGATTTATGCACAGAATAAAATATTTCTGAAAATTATTTTCAAAATATTCAAAATGTATTACCAATCTTTTGACTTATATATATAATTATTGATTGTTTATGACTTCAGAAACACTCGAATATGATTCCTGCTCTAAACTAATTGTCCTTGACAAAAACACAAAATTAAGTGGAAATTAATTTTATATGATATTTAGACAAATTGTTCCTCTCTATAGATGTTGTAACTGCAATAACTTATGATTATGTCATAATATAAAAATTATTCAGCTAAGAAAATGAAAAAGTATATTTGAAGCAAAATAATCAAAGAAATATCGCTATAGAGTTAACGTCTACTTTTATTGATGAATATGATTTTTTACTAGCTGTAAAACTTGTGATAATGGCCATTCCAGAAATGCTTTATTAAATTAATTTTGAAAACATCTACAAGTTGTTTTTAAAAAATTATTCTACTGAAAAATGATCACATCCCTGTAACAAAAAAGGGAAAACTGCAAACTATGAATTTTAATAGCAATTAAAATTTCCTAACAGTAACTCATTTTCTTTTCAATATATTTTCTAAATAATATACATGCTAATGGCAATTTTCAAAATGATAATACTAGGTATGCTATTAATATCTGCTACTACTGTATTAATGTGTATGATTATTGTCTGATGGGAAATGACAGCGGTATTCAGAACGCTATAAATTTCATCCCATGTATAAATTGCTGTTCAGTTTGCTAAACATTTTGCATCATTTTGTATAAATAATGATTAAAGGAAATTATGTGCATTGTTTTTAATATATTTAAGTATAAAGCTATGCAGACTGTATATTTTATAAATGAAAGACATATCTTACTCTCTTATGTTTGCATATAAAATGTGAGCAATAATGATTGTGAAAAACTATGTGATCTATATTATAGAAAGTCTATTATTCACTGCGCTGAAAAACTTCAGTGAATTAGATAAAATAATATTAAAGAAAACTATGAGTATTGTTTATTAAAGTTTTGAATATCAAGCTGAGTATATTATAAATTTTATAATTTAAAGACATTTTATATGATTCTGAAACACTTAAGAATTTTGAAAATAATTTTGTAGTAACTTGTTTTGGTGCATGATTCTATTTTATTATTATTTTTTTTGCTTGACCTAATTATGAATTGATGTCGAGTCTAATATTTAAAGTATCTAAACATCAAGCTGTTTAAATAACCTTTTTATGAATCATATAATATTTTATGGGTTATTTATTTGCTTATCAAGGAGAGGTATTGCAACAAATACTGTGAATTATTTAAAAGCAACTTAAAATTTAAAAGTTAATTTATTAATTCACTAGAAGAAACTTCAAATGTCTTAATTTCAGGAATGCTGAAGAAAACATGCTTAATTAATAAACTGTTCATATCGATATTGGGGGGGGGGAAGGAGATCAGCCTTGTTAACCAGCGAAACAATTACATTTCTGACTTAAGTAGGTGCGAGCGCGTTTTTCCTTTTACGCACTGCTAGTGGCATCACGATCGCAGTGTCAAGGCCTTGTTATTTCGGTGACTGCGTTCTGGCCCCAGCTGTTTGTAGATTTCAGTTTTAAGCTATTCTTGTAAATACTGGAATTGTGGCATTAAGACAAACTGTCTGTTTAGTAAGTTTTGCATGAAAGGAGTTTGTTTTAGTTTACGTTATCATTTAAAATTTTGTAAAACGCTAGTGTGTCTAATAAAGTTCTGGTTTGATTTTACATCTGAGTTGTATTTTGTATTCCCGGTCAGGCAGTACTGGTGGCGATATCTCAACAGGCGCCGGCGCCGAATAACTTTTGTGGATAAAGCAAAGTTACTTCACACCACAGAAGTTATAACTTTACTTATCATTTTTTTAAAATAGTATTTTTTAAATGTAGTCAGCTCATTATAAAACTTTGCTCGTCAAGTTAATTACTTTGAGTTGCTACAAAATTCAAAGACAAGAAAGGCGAATGCAATGCGATGGCCGTTAGCTCAAGATATTTTAGATTCATCTCCAATAGATCCCAAATTTTTAAATCCGCGAACTTTGCTAAAATAGCGGGCAGAAAGCGACAGAAAGCGAAGTCCTCGTTTGCGCATTACGTATATGCTAGCTATTGTAACATAGGGTCCGTAAGATCTTTTGCTGCTACCAGGTTAAGAGAATTTATTATTATTGCTTGAATTTGTGCATATTTTCCTATTTTTAATAATCTTAGGACTACTTTCATACAAGGATTATTTATAATTTATAATAGTACAAGAATATCGAAATAAACAATGTTTATTATTACAGGACATTTTACTAAATATTTCTAAACATAGTATACCGACACTCAACTTGAATTGTCCCGACACTCAACGTAAATTAACCCTTCACAGTACAGCCACTGTAATGTATTAATTTCACCAAATTAGAAAATAGATGCAAGACTACCAGCCTTCAACGGTTTCGTTATGTTACTCGCCTATGCTTGAAAAAATCTTTTAAGTTCTGAACAAAACCTATATAGTCCATCCAACATAATAAAGAACTAGCCCAACTAATAACAATAATCAGATTGACGAAAAAAAACAAATGGCCATAGAAATAATTATTATCTATTTCCAATACATTATGGGGGCCCACCAGCGGCCGAGCGGTAAAGTCGCTGAACACTGGTAGTTCGGTCCGAGGTTCGAATCCCGCGAACGGGCTGGCTGCATGGGTGTTTTCGTGGTTTTCCCCATGTGTAACGTGTATACGAGCCACTTTCCCTTAGAAAGTCCTCCACGGAAGGCATCCCTCCTCTTAGGCAGATAGCCCTAGTGTGCTTTGCCATAATTAAATACACTACCACACCAATACATTATGGGCTTTAAATAACAAGAAAATGAAACTTAATAATTTTTGACATACATTTGGAAGACAATATTGAACAGAAATCATAGCAACACAACCACTAGGTTTATTGAACAGTATTAAAAAGAATAAATAAATGAAAAAAGTGAGAACGGGAAGGGGACGAAATAATAAAAATATTTTACCTATTTCTCCAATTTTTGGTTTCTGAAAGAAGACGTGTGAAATTAGGGCAATTTAACTGAAACGTTTGAGTTACAAGATGCAAAATAAACGTCTACATTTTTACGTAACTATATAATTAATATATGACAAAAACTGTACACAGAAAAAAAAGCAAAGAATTTTTAATACACGATATCAAATTTATTTTTAAATATACATTTCTTATTCTGCACTTTAAAATCTAAATTTGAAACATTGTTAACGTATCTGTAACTACAGGGGGCGCGTACACATTTTTAGAATGATTTCAATAAAGAATTAAGAAAAAAGCTAATGTTTTGGAATACAAATTTATGGCAGTAAAAAAGATTCCGTAAGGTACTTATAATTGCCTCCCGATTCGCTTACAACGTTGTGTTTCGTGATGAAACTGTTGTGTTTCGTGATGAAAGCCGGTTCTGCCTTGATGCCAGTGGATAGCCGAGTGTTGGTTAGAAGGAGGCCATGTAGGCACTTGCAGCCTAGACGCACTGGACCTACACCTGGAGTTATGGTCTGGGGAACAATTTAGTATGACAGCAGAAGCACTCTCGTGATTATTCCGCGCAATCTGATAGCAAATTTGTCAGTCGGGTGATTCAACCTGTTCTGCTGCATTCATAAACAGCATTCAAGGGGATGTTTTCCAACAGGACGACATGTCGCCTTAGCCTGCTAGATGGCAAGTTCTTTCTCCAACCGAGCATTCATGGAATATCATGGGACGACAACTCCAGCGTCATCCACAACCAGCATTAACCGTCTCTGTATTGACCGACCAAGTGCAACAGGCACTGAACTCCATCTCCCAAATTGAAATCTGCACTTGTACGACACAATGCATTCCTGTTTGCATGCTTCCATATAAAATAAAAAACTGTCGGAAACACCAGTTTTTCACCTCTTTAACATTTGAAATAGCTCTTCTCGCGCTTGCTTTAACCTGTGATCTTGAAAATTTAATCAATTAAATATGTTGCCTAGACAAATGTATTGCCGAAATTCCATTATTCTACAATAATTTTTTCTTAGTGATATTTTTTCGTCAGTGTACATTTATTTTCGATTATTAGCTATTGTTTTAATCAAAACGAGAGAGAAATGTTAGCGGTTTAATCAAGAGCCTCTCGCTCTTATAATACCGATTTTAATCTTATGAGTTTTTCACGCAAAATTTAATTACTTAGTAAATGGACTGATATTTTCCTCCAAGGAAAAAAAAATCTACAGTAGAATAAAAACTGTTATTAAAAAAACTGAAAAATCTAAATTTTAAACTTTTAAACTACTTAGTACCCCTTTAAATTATCCATGTGTAACGTGTATACGAGCCAGTTTCCCTTAGAAAGTCCTCCAAGAAGGCATCTCTTTCTTCAGTTTTGCCACAGTCCCTCTCTGAGCTGCGCATGCTTGTTGGCAGCAATGATCAAAGGAAGGTGCTGGCTCAATAAGACCGGGTTCCGGGTGACCACGTTGCACAACTGAAAGGGAAGACGGCCGTGTTCGGCGTATGGCTTTGGCGCATCGTACTGGATCTGCAGCAAAAATTCGAGCTGCAGTTGGCACCACAGAGAAACAAACCATCCATCTCTGAACTGGGCACATCTTATTTTTTTATAATTCCAAGATTTTTTCCTTCTGCGATCCATTGTTTAAAGTAAACACATTCCTCACATATATAAATTTCCAATAATTTATGATTAATCTAATAATTTGGTATCATTTCATTAATTAACAAAAAGGCTGTTTCAATTCATTTAATATGATCCAGCTATACATTTCCATCTCCTGAAATATTTTAAACATATTAAGATATTTAACGGCACAAAAATCTAACAATTTTCTAACAATATAATCTTTAATAGATTACAAAGATGATAAGAATAATAGATGTAATAATCATTATTACTAACCTTAAAAATGATCATACTTTGAGTGACTACTGGATCTTTGTACTTAAAGTTACGTAATAAGTCCTAAAATAAAAATTATAATCATTATTTTACTAGTTATTAGATTATTTATTAGTTCAAGTAATAGTCCCACAAGTAAAAATTAATTCAAATGATGCACTTGTTTAGATTGTAATATGCTTACATTTTTACTGAGAACTAAATAAAATTACTTAGAACTGGTAACAAATAAGGTGTCCAGATTTCGAAGTTCGAAATTCGGGACGCTTTTTGCATAATTATTCTACTTTTTTTGTACAAATAAATTATTTTATTAATGTTGTTCTGATCGAGATGGTATGTAGGTCAATATATATGTAAATCAAAATAAATAATTTTTGATTTATTTTTTAAGAGTGATATATAGTATTTTAATACGTAAATAAAAAATAAATCAAAACGCAGGATTGATTTTTAAACAAAATAATAAATTCGTAACCCTTCTAAATTATTTTAATAGAGTAGCCTTATATTTCTCTGACGCATGAATATTTCTTGGAATACATATATTTTTTTAATCTTCTTGTAAAAGTCCGTGAGATTTTCGTCAAAATTTATTTGGTGATTAACATATCCTTCAAAGCGTCCACTTTTAAGCTGTGTCTTTTCACTCGTTCAAAAACTGTTCATAATGCTAAATGCTAGTACAGTTGCAGCATTAGTGCAGATGCGTCTGCACATATCCAGAACGGATGTGAATGTATATGAAAGAGTTTGTTGAATTTAAACTTCTAAATGTTCACTACCTCAATTTCCTACTTAATGGTAACATAGATGGAATAAGGATACAGTTGAGTTATCAATCAATTACATTCAAAATAAATCAGCGTACAAATATATAAAACCCTTTAGTTATAATACTAGTACTCGCAATTTGCCAGCCAAAATAAAAGTGGAAATGATCCTGACAGCATTTCAAAAAGTATGACTAAAATTTTCAGGTAACATATGGGTATACACAACCTATTTTATAGTCATTGTGTGGCTAGGAATAGTATTTAACTTACATTCTACGTAATGCATGTTATAAAATATATTTAAACATTTAAATAACTCAACCTCTGATCAGTCTAAGCATAAGCCTAAAAAAATTACGAAATTAATTTATTCTAGCTCTCAGCCTCTCTAATTACAATTACGAATACGTGTCTATATTAAACTTGTCGGTCACGCTTTTTTAATTGGTTGAAAAACAACAAAATCCTGATAATAATGTGAGTGAATGGGTATAATGCAGAGCTTCGGACAACTGAAAACTAACAAAGATACGTTATCCAAGTAGAACCTCTGTATAAAACACGCCCTTTTAATAGAAAGTTAGATTGTTAGAAAATAAACATGAATGCTGCGCTTTGAAATCAATCTAGGATTTTGCTTTTATCTTGTTATAATCGAGAAACTATGTTGCTAAAAATGAATATGAGTTGTTTACGATACGTTATATTGCGATGACTATTTGAAGATAATGATGATAATAAAATGAATGATAAATTAGTAATAGTATTTTAATAATAATAATAATAGTAGTACAATAATAGTAAAAATCGTCATGAAACGGGCAATAAATACGAAAAACCATCATCAAAAGATAAACAGTAATTTCTAGAAAGGAAAAAAGTTTTCTTTGTATACTGAATAAAACAATCATAATTTGATCTGATTACCAAAAATTAAATATTCGAAATACTAATGTATTTTAAGTCTTCAAAAGGGTGCATTTGTATAATGAAATCCAAAAAGTAAAAATAGGATAACATAGTAAGACACAGAAAAACTTCAGATTTTTGATACAAAAAAAAAAAAAAAAAAAAAAAAAAAAAAAAAAAAAGATTTACTCATTAAATTGTAATATACTTCTCTTAACATGTTTTTCAGACTACTTTTGTAGTTTTTCAATGCCATTTACGAGTGTATTAACACATTTCCTTTTCACTAGAAGCTTCATTTTATAGAAAATTTTAACCATGGTACAATCTGCAAAAATCATTTTGCTGAATTAAATTTACTTGAATACTCTACGCGTCTCAATACATAATAAACAGAATTAAAAATATTTATTCCTTATTATAAAATATTAATAAAACGCTGCTAAAATAGTATCACTGTAAAATTTTATTTTAATTAAAGCAATTACATGGTTAATTTACCTCTAGTTTCACTTCTACTTTCCTCGACTTGAAGGATAAAAAGAGAAACTGGCAATTTTAAAACATTCGAACAAGAAATCTGGTTATTTTAAAATATGCAATTATTTCCATCCAACTGTGAGTGGCCTACCAGCACCCGAAGTCGCTGAACACTGGTAGTTTAATCCGAGGTTCGATTCCCGCGAAGAGGCTTGGCTGCATGGATGTTTTTGTGGTTTTCCTCATGTGTAACGTGTATACGAGCCAGTTTCCCTTAGAAGGTCCTCCAAGAAGGTATCAGATAAACCAAACCAAACTATCCATCTCTGAACTGGGCACATCTTATATGTTTATAATTCCAAGAATTTTTTCTTCCGTGATCCATTGTTTAAAGTAAGCACATTCCTCATATATATCAATTTCCAATAATTTATGATAAATCCAATAATTTGGTATCATTTCATTAATTAACAAAAAGACTGTTTCAATTCATTTAATATGATACAGCTATACATTTCCATCTCCTGAAATATTTTTATCCATTTCTCCAAATAAGTAAGAGAATTCTGATGAAACAATAGCTTCTCGAAATTTAATAACTTCGTGTTGTGATCTTGTGACACGTCTCCATTCTCTTCAAACTTCTCTTGAGTTTTTTGAACATTTATTGGAATCTATCTTACTCAAACCCGAATCTTTCAGAACATCCATTGAAACAATTACATCAAGTAAAGAGGCAGTTTGATTTTCAATTGTTATAACATCTTTTATGAAGTTATAAGGTATTTCTCCCACCGTCTTAGTATGCCTTCATTGTGTAATAGCCAGCGTACTCAGCGCGTATTCGAGAGGTCCGTGGTTTGAGTTCCGGCGAGGGCATTGCTCATTTTTCATGTCTCCTGCTCCGAAATAATCTAACGTCTCTGAAAAATATAGAAGCCTGAATGTTAATAAAGCCACTGTATTTTCAAAGAATTTAAAAATAAGCATGTTGCACTTTTTTTGAGCTTGAAAATAAGCCTCTACTGGCAAAGCCATTTAGAGTACCCTTCTAATGGCGAGAAGTAATGCTAACCATCTTGTTTGTGAATACCCTAATATCATTTAAAAGTCTTTTTCTACGAAGTAGCAGAAATTTTTCATTGTTTCTACTCTAACAGATTTAAAATATGTGTATATCTTAGAAATAATCATTTCTATATCAACTGGCAAAACACCAGCTGATGTTCTTATAGTGTTATAGATAATATGCGCTGCACATCCGACTCCAATTAAACCGTAGTTAAGATTTCGTTTCAGTTTAAAATACACATTATTTTCTCCACGTCCATCAGCTCCTCCAAAGTTATAATTCGTAATATCGGCGTAAAAACCAATAACTTTCTCTTTTAAATTATTTCCTTCAAGACAGGTAGTTAAACAGATGCTGATAATATTGGATGTTTGACCAGGTAAGGATTTAAATTCTAAAGTTTTTACTTTAACTTCATAATTCCAATCTATAAATCTAACAAGTATTAGAGAAAGTTTTATTTCTTTGTGATAGGACGCATCAGTTAAAAACAAAAAAAAATATTTTTCCAAACCATTGTGCAAAGCAGTTAAAGCGTGAGGCATGAAAACATTTAGTATTATTTCTTCGGCTTTTGTTCGAACATATGTATATTTAGGCTCAAATACCACTTGAAGCAGCTTGGACGGATAATCCATAGACTTTAAAGCTATGGTTGCGGCAAATAATATAGTAAACAAAATTACCTTCTACTGTAACTAATTCTTCTTTCTTATCACCCATTTTCTTCTGTTTGAAGAAATTCTTTAATGACACGCTAGATGCAGCAGTAGAGTTTGATATTTTACGTTTATTACTATTTATATGAAGTTTAATAGTACGTCCACCATGACTTATTGAAAATTTTGAAGAACACGTATACCGAATCGCTTATAGTTTTTTCAATAAACGTGTATTCTTTCTGTAGGTCTTCAATAAACGTACACTTACTTTTCTTGATACCATTACTAAAAAAATCGATGTTAAAAATAAATAATAAATTAAATTAAACTGCAATAAAATCCTTAGTCCGTTTGTAATGCATCCCTTAGTCCTTTAGTCCTTTTGTAATGCATCGCTGATAAATAAAAGATTGCCAAACGGGAAACATTACCATTTTGGCAGACTTTTAAAATTTTTTAACACTTACTTAAAATTAAAATGACGTTGAAGTCAAAATTTTACGATTTAAACGTGACAAAAGAAAGATGATTTTAGATGTATATATTTACAATTAAAATTTCAGAAAATACCAAAAAAATTATTTTCAGATGCCGCGTAACAATGTGTAAGGGGACGTTACGTACGTAATGCACCGTTGATAATTAAAAAAAATATATATATATACGTATATATTATAAATTCAAATCACAATTGCATTACCATATCAATTAAAAATTGCAGTGCAGTCTGTAAGTGAAAGTCTGAACTGCAACTGTGAGTAAACATTCCGCGTAATGTTGGGAGGCTGGGGAGAGAAATACAGGAATGAGGAACAGAACATCTCCTACTGCAATTTTTCTGAGGTAAACGTTAGATGAGAAATTCCTTGACTGAAAATTCGAGACCTATGGTCACCTTATAACAAAGTATCTCTGTGAATTACTATCGCAAAATGGATAGACTATGCGCAGAAATTCAAGAAAGTAGAAAATGAAATATTTTATAATATTTAATCATTTCTACTTATTATTTCTGAATACACTTTTCGTAAAATATTTATAAATAATAAATCCATTCCAACTGAAACTTTAATAAATTTCTAAATTGTACTGTATTTTTTGAAATAATAATACTATTTTAAACGAAGCTGAAGGTTTTTTATTGTTAGTCTAAAAGTGGCTATT